AGTTCACTAACTTGTATGACAAAGAAAGCAATCAAATCCAGATATGCAAGCAGCTGGGATACTTGTGTATAAACTCAGAATAGTTGCAGATTAATTTTATGGCAATAAAAAAAATCAATTAAACAGCTAATCTTTACAGCTCTCCTGAAATGCAATCAAAAATCAATGTCACTTTATTATATCAAGGTTCAGTTAGTAACTGCTCCCATCTATCAGTACATAGTCATGCAGAGAAATCTGTCTTTTGTATGACGACTTTATGACTGATAACTGGATTGAGGATAATGAATGGAAATCCCTGGTGGCCCTATGGAGCGATTTTTCACCTCGCCTGTAACTGCTGACAGACACTATTCCTGAATACTCTATGACCCTCTCCATCACTGCTGCATCTCTGAAATCATTTCACCATTTTCTCTCTCAATCAAACCGTAAATTAGTAAAAGCGGCTGTCTTCATACAACACCCCAGGGTGGGACCTGGTCATTGTTTTGCAAGTCACAAGTAAGTTTCAAGTCATTGCACTCAAGTCCCAAGTCCTAAAATTTGAGTTTCAAGTCCTGAACAAGTCACAATGCACCCTTCGCCAAAATGCCACTTTAATCTTACAAAAATCATGAGTGCTTTTTAAAATTTGTAGTTATTTGTTAAAACAAGTGCGACTGAACTTTATCATGAAAATGTAGTGCTGACTCTCTGTTGTAGCGTCTCTGTCTGTAATTTTTGACCCTCATGTTTAGCATACTGCAATTTCTTTTTTGTTGAAAACCGCATGGATTTTGTACATGAACAAAATTATTGTTGGTATCGTGTTCTCCAACTGGTGCTCAGTAAGGTAATGTTATTTCAACATAGTTCACCCCTGTAGCTTGACTGGTTCAAATAGCATGAATCTGGGAAATTAAGTGTCGACTTGCTGGGAATTAATGGCGTTAAATGTTAGTTGATTCAAATAATGAGGTGAAATGAACAGATTCTTGGTGGGTTTGGGGTTATGGGTTTAGAGAGCAAATGTTCTGTGGTTGTTTTGGTGTCTTGGTTGTGATAAAAAAACACAATAAAAATTATTTAAAAAATGAACTGATTCATGGTACACTTTAAAAAAAAAAAAAGAAAAAAAAATCATACTTTATAACCTTTAAACACATTCTTACTCCGACCTTGTCACATATTGACATTTTGGTCATGGACTTTCCACGTCCAGATACGATGTGAAAGGTACCCTGGGTGCGTTGGTTATTGACGTTCTGGGACGCTGTGTCAAGTTTTGCCTGTAACATGAATTGTCTCAGGAAATTTACCGTTTACATACAGTCTCTTTCAAAATAAACACACTACATCAGTACAACAATGCAAATTTTTATTTATTTTTTTCCTACAACAACCAACGGTCATGGTTGGGTTTAGGCAACAAAAGCACGTGGTTAGGTTTAGGAAAAACGAAAAGGGTTTGGCTTTAGAATCTTATGAGATGTGAACACCACTCTCTCGGGTTAAAGTCAGTGTTTGTCGGGCCCCAACCACCTCACTCGGACTTTTGCTGCCTTAACACTCGTCCTTGTCCCACCACATTTCCCCCTGACGCCGCCGGGTGCTGTTGAAATATAACAAGAACCGGCCATGTATCATGCCAACGTTAAAGGACACCTGTTTTCATTGGTTTCTGATGTTGCAAGTCAGTGCCCAAGTGCCGGATTTTGATGACTTTGGAGTGAGATCAGGCTCAACCTTTTAGGCTTTGGGGAAAGTATCAAGTATTTTCAGATCAAAAGGCTGTAATCAAAGTGAAGTCATGAGTTTTTGGTGGTAAAGTCCATGTCCAGTTGCAAGTCTTTTTTTATTTTGTCAATTTGAGTCTAAAGTCATCAAATTTGTGACCCAAGTCCAAGTTACGTGACTCAGGTCCACACCTCTACACGACACACTGTGCTGATGCTGACAATAGAACGACACACACTCGTTTTTAAATGACAATATGTCTTTTATTTTCTATATTTTAAAGGTTTATTATTTACAAACAAAATAAACAAAAAAAAAATCAAAAAGATTTTTTGACAAACACTGTTTGTCTGCATATTGTTGTAAGAAAGTTTACATTTACCTTTCTTGCGTCTGTATCAAGTAACCAACTGACAGTTCTTTTTCTCTAAGCCTTGGATTACAGAAATGAGCTGAACAATGACCATGTGAGTGGGCTTTAAGAGGACCCAGCAGCTCGCCGTAGCTCCTGCCCCTCTCGCTCTCCACTGCGCACATCATCAGTAAACATATGAAACCTGCGGTCGTCAAAACCAAATAAATATTTGGTTTGTCCTCTCTGGGCATTATTATTCTCAGTTCCTTTTGCATCTCTTCTGTTTTTCCTCAAACCAACAAAACAACAAACAAAAAGAAATATACAAATATATGTGCTGGTTTGTTGAGAGTCTCTATACTGCTAATATGTAAGCTCATTAGTTTGTGTTGTACATCACCATTAATGCCCATTCCAGTATGTTAGTTGTGATAGTGAAAAAAGCACATAGTTGGGAAGCTCTCCCTCCAAAGGCAAGTATCAAAAACAGCACAAAGCAACAGTGCTGCTGCTATCCATCTTGACTGTGTACTAGTTCCTATACACTATGGCATATTCACGATTAAGCGCTCTTCGTTGCAAATAGAACACCTCCCCCCTCTCATTTAGAACCTCATACAGGATCAGGGCAGCACAAATTCACGGGGATGTCGCTCCCTTACTAACTCCTTCAACATCTATAACCTAGCTGCAAGAATCTGTACTTTCGTCTTTTTATTAGTAAATCAGAAAGTGCAATTTAAAACAAAGACAATGAATGTTTCACTTTGGCCAGTTTCCTTCCACACATCAATATTCAACCCAAACATTAGTGGCTAGCTACAAAGAAAGGTATAAAGGTGCTCCAATTTTACACAATGTCTCATTGAGCGTGATATTACTGCTAAAGATTGCACTTTTTCTTTTTTTTTTTTAAACTGTACATGACCTCAATAAATATTCTATATAGCTTGACCGAGAATGTTAGAAAAAACCTGCCTCTAGAAGTTCACATTGTAAGTAAAGATACCAATTGGATAAACTTGAGACATTTGGCCATCGTCGCGTACTCCTTTCCTGTCTAAAAACACTGAGACATAGAACACATAGAGTATAGTAAGAATGAATGCGCAGTTGTGTGCAGAAGTGCCCCCCGCCCCGAATGCACCGAGCTCACACTCATAACAAAGGATGGAACATGGCTATAGTTTAGGCACAAATACTTAAGAATGTCCATGTGAAAAAGTCAATGCTTCTGTTCACACACAGATAAAACATCTAGGCAGACAGACAATGAACAAAACATAATCTAACATTACATTTAACGTCAACATTTTTGAGATAGTATCTTTTTAAGTATTTGTGACAGTGCATGCTTTCATGACATTTGGTGGGTTGACTGTATTGGTACACTATCGACACAATCTGTAGCGAGGACCTGTAATCTTTTTAAAACGGCATCTCAGAGGGCTTAGTCACTTTGAACTGATGGGATGTTCGGCGCCATGAAAACTATGACTCTCTATGGACGTTCTGCACGACTGGCAGCAGAGTACTTTGTCATGTTTGACTCGCTGTGCGAAGACTGCAGGAAGGCCTCGTGCACACATCTACTGTATGTGCAGGGAGATGACCTGTAAGCCGTAATGGCTGGCTTATTTTAGTCATGAAATACTTTTATTACTGTAAGATTAAAATATTCAAAATAGCTCTTATCCTTTTGGACAGAGTCACGATATTCTGGCTTGACCTTGCTCGCCTGCCTCAACATCAGTCCAGGTCAGTTTAGAGTACCTAAGCCCACAGAATGGATTTACATGAGACAGAAACCTTAATGCAAACCAGCAATTCTTTATCTGACTTGCAGCAGCACAAAAACACCTCTCGCTGAAAATGTACCTCTCTGCACATTTGAGTGACGTCTTTAACCTAAAGTGTATGAGCTGATAGTGTCGTGCCAGGCTCTTCAACTACAGTTAGTGTGATATGACAACGTACAGTACAGTTTTACTCAAGAAGCAGTTGAAAAAAAGGTGTGATGAATAAAAAGATGTGGGTCTCATTAACACTCTCGAATGATATATTTCATAAAATGATCAGCCCCTCCAGGATGTTGCCATCTCAAAAATGAATGACTCCTGTGCAACCTTGAAATTTTGTCCATTCACTGCAACTTTACTAATAATTTAAAATGGGTAAAATCTCATTTCATTGTAGAGCTGTGCGCAGCGTATTGATTTGCTCTGCCCCTCCTTGCCTCTCTGTTATGCTGTGTTCACACTACAGGCGATACAGTAACAGGTTACAGGTCGTTTTCAATGGAAGCCGACATGAAGCTACAAACTGACACCCGACATTTGTTTCTGTGGACGTGCTAGAAATTAAATCTGAGCTGGCCTAAACTTTAATCAGCACACCAATGATGCAGTCATATGGTTTGTCTCTAGCTGTGGTGCTGTGTTAAATAGTTTAGTTAGCTGATGCTAGCAGGAACAGGGGACAGGGATTCAAAGAGAGCTAGCGGTGAAATTTAACGTTAAAATGGGGCTCAAACACTGATGAAACGCACAGATATTTTTTGACTAAATATAGTTGTCACTTGTAGTGTGAGCACAGCATTACTATGTCTCTCACTTTCTGTTTATCATGAGACTGCTGCTGCAGGAGTGTGAGCTCCATGCCTGGAGCTCACACACAGTGACAGGGCTAACTGTTAGCATCACCGTTGTTATCCAGTGGTTATTAATGGGTCAAGACATTGAGATTGAGATTTTTTGGACCACTTTATATTATTTATATTAGTGGCTGGCGCTGTGTTAGCTCCTGCTAAGATGTCAGAGAGAGCAAGAAGACAGCAGCTCACAAATGTTGAAGGGGTACGGCAGATAGATTCCTAATATATGAGTAATTTTCACTTGCATCAGAAATTTCCCAGCAAAAAAAAAAAAAAAGCTGCCCTGTAATTAGGCATTTTAGACCACAAATCCCAAAAAACGCCACAAAATCCTGGAGGGACTGAATGAATCAATTTGGCTGTGAAGAAAAGAATCATTCCCAAAATGATCCTCAGCAACGATGTGTATCGTGTATCGTTGATAAATATTGTATATGTTCACTTGATGTAAAATCAAAACCTACACTGGGGCTAGGAATAGTATACAGAGAGAGAGGGATTCTTCAATGTCCTCCGATCGGGCATTTCTCAGCATCAAGTAGTGCTAGCTATTGCATTAAGGTTTGTTCATCTCTTATGAAACATATGTATTTTGTCACTAAACCTTTTTCGCGTATAGATGATATCCAGGTTCCTGATAGAAGTAAGACATTGTTATGATAGAGAATGCACCACACAGTATCTGTAAATACTAGATCTACAAAACTATTTACAGCACACATATAGGTAATCTTTATGTCACAGTCTATTGCATAATGGTGATAATCTTTAGTTTATAAATATTATAAATATACACAGAATTTTTAAGCAACATTACGTAACATCTCAGCCATCTGAAATCAGAAATAGAAAACAATAGCATCCATCCATATCTTGCTCCACACTCCATTCTCCTCGAAAAAAAAGAAAACAAAGAAAGCAGCATTTCTATTATCTATTCCCTTTGGACCCATAACACTGTCATGGTTTGTATGTGAGCCGCTGTGGGGATATAGTGGCTCAGCATACTGTATTTGTGTTGCAGAGAGCAACATAACACTTAGTTACAGTATCTGTGTTGGTTTCTGAAATGAAGGGTTCAGGAAACTGGTGTGAGATTCATTCATGAGTGTGTGCTTTTTGAGATTATTTGTCAGAGTTGCTTGCATGTATAATTCCACAGTGGTGCCTAAAGCTGCTTAATAGGAGAAGACGATTTTTCTCTTTCTTAATGGTACAAAAAAAAAGAGAAGAAATATATGTCATTGTCAGAATCCACAATGCATTCCAGTTTTAAAAAAAACAAAAAGCAAAAAGAAAATAAATTAAAAAACTTCATACACTGTATATAATTCTTTATATTTCTCAGAAAGGAAGACTCATGTTTATACTACAGCTTTTTAAATTGCCATCGCCAAATATTCTAGTTGGATTTTACACACGCGGTCACATGCACACACTCTCACACACCCATACACACAGCAGTATATATATATACATATGTATATATATATATGGCGTCAAAGAAAAGAGAGATGTATCTGTATAATATACATTCTTAAGTTTAGGGAGACAATGTGTCTAAAATATAATACAAGGGCTTGTATGTACAGGGTTTCTATGAGGTTATTTTAGAAGAAAACTGGAGAGAAACAAAAATGCTGAAGTTCCTCATCTTTATCTCTTTTGTTGTATCTCCGTTTTTAAAAATGAATTGAAACATATTTAAGTTTAAAAAATGAAAAGGGAAAAATGGGATCATAAATTTGATGCAAAACGCATTTTGTCTTGCTCAGTCTCCGTACTGCTCAGGACAGAATCTCTCCTAGATCCGGGGGATTCCCTGTGCTGGGTTGAGGACGATGATGCTGCCGCCACTGCTGCCGCCGCTGCTGCTGCCGCCGCAGCCGAGCGCACCGGGGGCAAGGCTCCTGACGACATCTGCCGGAATAAGTTGACACGCTGGGGCACTGTGGTGCGGATGCCACTCTGCAGATTCATTCCCTGGATCCCTGCTGCCGTTGGTGGCACGATGGAAGCCAGAGAGTCTCCTGAGGCTGGGTGCACTCTGGGCCCCAGAGATGTGTCATGTGGCAGTGATGGTTGGGAGGCCGATAAATGTCTGACATCTCGACTCAAGCTGCCCGACTGCAGGGCCTGTGTGCTCTTGTGGACTTCTCCCCGCTGAGGCGAAGGGACCTGCTGCTGCTGCTGCTGCTGAGGTGACGGCTGCTGCTGCTGCTGCTGCTGCTGTGCTGCAGAGGCTGTGGCTGCAGTTGTTGCAGCAGGCTGCTGGGCGAGCTGCTGCTGCGTGGGTAGAGATGGTTGAGCCATGGGCTGCTGGATAAGCGACAGCTGGGAGGCTGTACGCGAGCCGTACTGGAAGCTCCGGCTAGCCAGAGGGGTCTGCACAGGCGGACTACACATAGCAGCCGTGAAGGAGCAGGGCGACATGATGGCTCCTTGCTGCTGTGGGTTGATTGAGGATGAATTCAGGTTGCCGTGGGAAAGACTGGGAGGAGGGTAAACCCCCTGCGCTGCAACAGCGGCAGCGGCAGCGGCTGGCAGCATGCGGGCAGCAGAGGCATTGGCAATAGCTGAAGCACTGTAGGTCATGGGGACAGAGGACTGCTGGAGCTGATTGGTGCTGAAGGCAGTGGGGAAGGGAGGCTGGGCTGGCGAGTTAATGATGGAGTTTCCTGACATTGGTGTTGAGTTCATCCCGGTGACTGACTGCTTGCGGTCCACCATCATCACCATCTCCCTGTCCTGACGGATAATCTGCTTCAATATCTCGTTCTCCTGTGTGTTGAAAACGCCGGCGTTCAGATCCTTCTGGAACTTCTGCAGCAGCAAAGAGTTCTTCTTCCCTGTTGGGGTGCAGTCAGGAGAGGTGAGCACATACAGCCATGGCAAACTTTGGCTGCCCTGAACCACAGGAAAAGGGCAGGATTCAGGACAGTAATTATAAAGATGCAGCTTGCACATTTCAGCAGCAAAAACTTTTTTTTCTGTCACCACATTGTCAATAGAGAAGATTCATCCTCTCGATTCCTCTAATTTCACTCAACTAATTTCAACTCTTACAAGCTGCATCTTTTCACGTCCACTCATGTTTCTCATATTGAATATAAAGTGTAAAGGACACTGAATGGTAATGACTATGGGAAATACACAGTTTGGAAGGAGTGAAGGACACATAAGGAGACAAAGATTACTGAAAGTGTGACGTGGTAGCGTAGACTGTGAAGGTGCTGATGTGGACGATGAGACACAGAAGAATACTGATGAATTGTACCCACACGTCACGTTACTGGACAGCTTTTGTCGAAGAAATGACAAAAAAGTCTAGACTCTAAGAATAAATTTAAAGCCACAGACTAGTTAAATCACAGTAACAGCTCCGCTAAGACACATCACAAGGACAATTAGAGGTATTCAATTTATGAACAAGGTGACAATAAAAACAAGTAAAGAAAGAGACAAAGATCTATTCCTAACACACTACCACAGGGGGTACAGATTGTAAATATCCTTATTCATTAAATACCTTAACGGAAAACTAAACTCATCTTACCACAGAATGCTGTTATCTTTGAAATTTGCATGGAATTCTCTCACTTATTTGTTATAGTTTAGAGTGAATTTGTCAGCAAAATTAAATAATAACACATTTTTATTTGATATAGGGGAAAAAAAGGTTTTAAAAGTGCTTTCTTTCAGCTCTTTAAAGGGCATTTTGAGCCCACAGGCCTGCAAATCTTTCCCAGCCTGTCACAAGTCATGAACCGTGATAATAAAAGCTTGACAGATGGCTTCTTTAAACACCAACCACTTTTGTGGCTTTGGGAGTTAGGGAGCAAAACTGTGGTAAAATGCTAAGTGGTACTAAAAACATGATAGATGTCTTGAAACTGGTCTTTTGTAGAAAGAATCGCCACATTTGACACTATTAATAAAAAAGAATTTAATGTATTTAACATCTTTACTTTGAATGACTGCGTCCAAATTTATTTAGAGGATGTGTTTCCTGTAATTACTCTTGACCTTTTGTATCGACAGGCTGTGAAGCGTTACTTGTCGGTAAAGAAGACAGAGTTGACTTTTAGTGGGCTGAAGGCTTTAGCCACAGTCAATCAATCATTAAGCCCCGTCCTTGAGGGTGGGAGATTTCTGCACTGAGTGTACAGTTGAGCAGCATTTTCTGGGCGGCTTTCTCTTCTCAAGGCTGCCAACAAGCCGTGCATTCAGCTATAAGATGGGATTGATGTTATGTTTTGCAGCCATTTTGACTGCAACAGTGGCTACAGGGGCGGGCTGACAGCTAGAACTAGCACCACATACATACTATCAGACTACTGTTAACTTACAAGGCTTCTTTGATAGCATTTTTAAAGGTGACAGGGTCAAACTCTGTAGATTGGAAGGACAACACATATTCATTATTCCTCCAAATATAGCCTGTGAGGATCTGAACGCTTGCTGGTAGTAAGACACAGGGGTATTCTTAGGATTTGCTGTTCCTGCAGCCCTCCTGGCCTCTTCTTGTTTCTCTCCTCCTCTAATCTCTCTTTGACATTTTATCCTCTTTTTCTTCTCTGTCAGTTAAGGGTGTGCAAAAGACAAATAGACACTTATCAAATCATTTAACAGACCTTTAGAGCTACATATACACTTACATTTATGTTATTTTTAAAAGCAAAACTATTGCACTTCACATCCTCTCCTGGAAAGCTGCTATTTTCTATTCCACATTATGGCTACAGAGAAAAAAAACCAACTTATCTGAATGGCTATAATATATATTATATACATACTGTAACAAGTCAAACTCAGGGTAAACTTTTAGGCATTCAATTTTCAGTACTCACAAACTGCCAGCTTGGAAACACTTGAGCTACATCTCTGTAAACACTCACACTATCGGTGACATGTGAGTTTGATTTGTGCCTTAATACACACATTTACAATAGAAACATGGGACTGCTCTGACCATAAAAAGTTGGGTTTCTTTTTAAGTTTATATCTCTACAGACAGAACCCATAATAAACAGACACTTTAATATGGAGGACGAAAAATGAATAGTATCAAAAAATAAATAAACGTATCGATAAATAAATACAGGAATAAATAAATAAAAGCATAATAAATAAATAAACAACGGCAGCGGTAAGGACCTTCTGCCTCATTAACATACAGACACATAAATACATAAATAAATAAATATATTTGCACAAAAATGGTGAATTGATGTCCTGTTTAATCATCAAATTTGATTTATTTATGCATCTATTTATTTCTGTATTTATTTCAGCATTTATTTAAACATTCATCTATTTATTTTCACATTTATTTATTTACTTATTTTATACATTTATTTATTTATTGCTGTTTTTACTATGTATTTATTTAATTATTTATTGATACCCAAGTCATTTTTTGTCCTCCATACTTAAAACTCTGCTCAAAATATCTTGGACTGCTTTTCTGACTTTAAAAACATTATCAGAAGATTGTCAAAAGAAAATATTATCCCTTAAAATCGAAGTGGAAAAAAACCCCCAACAACATACAAATACATAAACAAAATGTAAACACCACTTATGAGTAAAGAAATGTTTCTTTTTTTTTACATACATAACTTGTGAAGTTGAAAAAAAATTGATCAGCTATGGGTCAAATCGCCAATATATTACTATTACAGTACTGTGTTAGTAATTTCTTTGTCCTGGCACAAATAGAACCAGTGAGATTAATTTAATATAAAAACAATATGATTCGAAAATAATAAAAGTACAGTAATTAACCCATACCTGACATCTGAACAAAACATGTTATAAAACAGTCTAAAAGCCAACTAACACACCAAACAAACAAATAAAGAAACAAACAAGCAAAACACAAACATCATAATGTTCACAAACATCATATAAATAATGAAGGCTGTGTTTTGTTAAAAAGTAAAATACACAAATTTCGAGATGCATTCAAGGCTTTACAGAGACACATTTTTCATTCTGACTTGATGCAATTTCATCAATAATTTCAACAATTTTCAATAATTAGTTGTTTTTGTTTATGAGTCACTGCAGGAAATGTTTTTTTCTCCAGTGTCTTCTTGTTGAGGGATATTTTAAGAACGTATTTTAGAGAGGATAAGTGTGTGTGAGAAAATGATTCTTAACTTCTGCCCTTCACATGTCGTCAGCATGACATCACTGCAGCTCTGTGTCTACATACAGTTTGACACTTTCCTTTGATTAGTGTCAGAAAAGCCTAAATATTTTCCCAATTTTTTTTTTTTTTTACACAAAAGACAGAATTCATATTTCAAGGCAGACAATCAGAAACAAACTTTTTTTTCCGTTGGTGAAAACATGAATAAATAATGAAATGAGATTTCTGCATGTAACAAGAAGTGTGTGTGGCATTGCATTAGTAAAATTTTTACTAATCTGCAGACATGGTTTTGTTTGTGAGTTCACTTTGAACAAAGGGTTCAAAGATTAAATAAAAAATGTCACACCAATAGAGCTCGGCATGTGCTTATAATCCAGTTAATTACTCTGTGAAAATCTCTTACAAAATAAAATGGGCATGTAACATTGAATGAGAAATCTTTTGTTTCTTTGATTGTCTTAGTTGTTGACATTTTGAATGTGTCCATCAAAACATCTGCAGGACTGGTGTGGGTGACTTGATTTATGTGTCACTGATGCAGGAATTAAACAGTTAATGTAACCTCCAACAAGAGGTCAGACTCTTGGAGGATGAATTTGAGACCGGATCCATTTAGCAAGCCTCTATAGGTCAATTTGTCCCTGTTCGAATATTGGAATTGGAATAAAGTGTTTACCTGATGCCTACTCGTCGGCCAGGACACTCTTGAAAACGAGATGTGCTCGTCTCAAGACGGACTCCTGGTCAAATAATTTTTAGATAGATAAAAGATAATGTCAAATGTGCAACACGTTATTGGTTTCAAAGCATGGTTACTTTTCTTCTTTCCTTTTTAGAGCAAGACAAGCATGTAACCAAATGCAGTTCATATATAGAAACGATACAACCAGCACGGATCATGACAAAGTATCTTCCCTCGTATGAGACAAAACCCCCTTCATGGTTAGTCTGAAAGGATGGATCGAATCTAAATCACTCTGACAAGTGTCAGTCAGAGTGGGCAGCTTTCGGTTTTATCACATTTGGTGAAAAGCTAACTCAGCTGGTAGCTCTCATAAAAAGGGCAAATGTAGATTTGGACTGTTGAGGCCAAACGGCATTCAGTGTTTGTGAAGGGACTTCACTACAGGGCAGAAAAAGCTTTTTATTTTATTTTATGCTAGTTCAAAAAATGCAACCTTGTCTCCTGTGAATTATGCTCATATGCAGCGACTTCACAATTAGTTATTAGAATTCAGCTGTAATGGAAAAATTTAGAGGACATTCGTGTAGCACAGGGGAAAGTGTGGGTGTTGATTCACAGGTGGATGAAAGCACAAAGCTGGAGATGGAGGTTTATGTCCCGTATTAAACTAGAAATCACTGCTGTCATTTGTAAAATTTAAACATGATCACATCCTTCCCCTAAATTCTCCCAAGTAGTTTTATTTGCCAAATCCACACATTAATGCAACGCATGTTGGATAAACACTCAAAATCAAAATACATATCTTTCCTCTTAAATATAGTTAATTCATTTATTTATCCATTTTTCGTAACTGCTTATCCCGTTGGGAGTTGTGGGAGGTGGGGCTGGAGCCTATCCCAGCTGTACATTGGGCGGGAGGCAGGGTACACCCTGGACAGGTCACTAGACTATCACAGGGCTGACACATAGAGACAGACAACCATTCATGCTCACATTCTCACCTATTGCCAATTTAGGGTGCTTTCAGACCTAGAGTTGTCTTGCTTTGGTCTGAATCAGGGACTAATTTTGTTACAGAGTTGCATAATTACCTAGATTTGGTTTGTGTTCTCACAGCAGCATTTACAAGCGGACCAGATAAAATGCCTTGCACGAGAAAGCAAACAAGTAGTAAACAAAACGCTGAAGAAGAGTACACTTGCAAAATAAATGCGACACTTTCTAATGTCACAGTGGAGGGACAACTACTGTATGCAGGTTGATTTTAGCGCTGGTCATTGTGTACTAAATTGCTTTCATTATTCGTTTTAGTCAAACCATACAGTTTGAAAACAAGGCACGGCAATGGGATTGCCTTGTTCACATCTGCGCAAACGAACTGCGCTTAGGGGGCAAACGAACTTGAGTTCAATTGAACCGAACCAAACAGGGCAGGTGTGAAAGCACCCTTAGAGTCACCAATTAACCTAGCCAGCATGTCTTTGGACAAGGGGAGAACATGCAAACCCCACCCTGGGTTCAAAACAGGGACTCTCTTGCTGTGAGGCAACAATGCTAACCACTGTACCACTGTGCCACTTGCTTACCTGTAGTGCTATTTATCAGCCTAGATTGTTTTGGTGTGAGTTATTGAGTGTTGGAGATGTTGGCCGTAGAGATGTCTGTCTTCTCTACAATATAATGGAACTAGATGGCACTTGGCTTGTGGTGCTCAAAGTGCTAAAAAAATACATTTGAAAAACTCAACAGCAATGACCTGGTTACTCAAGATAATCCACAGACCTTGTTGTGAGCAGTTTCATGTAGGAACTATTTTCTTTCTACCGCACTACATTCGGCAACCATATCACTGTGCAGAAGGACTCTTACCTAGCACCACTGAGCTAGCTAACATTACAGCTCAGCCAAAGAGGAAGCCATTAATGTTTACATCTAGCGCTGTCATGAGTATGAGCCTCTTGTCCATCAGTAGATGCAGGTTTCCTTCAGTGTAGTGATGCGGTTGGTGGGTGTAGTTCAGTAGAAAAAAAGAAACCGCTCACAACAAGGTCTGTGAATTATCTTGAGTAACCAGGTCATGAGTTCTGGAAAGATACATTTCTGTTAAGTGTTTTCAAATGTGATTTTTTTGTACTCTGTACCCCTCAAGCCTAGTGCCATCTAGTTCCATTAAATTTGAGATTAGGCAGTCATATCTAAGGCAGATATTGCCAACACTCAGCAACTAACACCAAAATAATCTACACTGATAAACAGCACTACAGGTAAGAGGAAAAATATGTATTTTTGATTTTGGGGTGAACTGTCCCTTTAACATTTGCAGATGTGATTGGCATGAATTTCAGTGTGAACACTTTGCAAACATGTTTTGTGAGGTATTTTGATATAAATCTAGTCATTCAGCCACCATTGAGTTTCCCCCTAAAAACAGTTGACATATGAGCGGAACTCTGAGGAGAAAAGGTTGTCTCAACAGTGACACACATCTGTTGTTGGATTCTCATTGGTTCTGAGCGGTCTTGTTCCAAATCTATTGTCTATCTATTTGACTTGCCTGACACTACAGTATTTCAATGTTGAGTCAACACTCGGGTTGCAAAGCAAATTCAATACTGACGTGCCTGTGTCAGGCAAAAAAATACACAAATACAAAGCCATGACAAAGAAAAACAACAATAACAGATAGAGAAGTAGATACAGACTGCAAGCTTTAACCACTGATATGAGACAACATTGGCACACTGTCATTATGCAAATTAAACTTTAATTTTGTAATTCGGGTGATACTGTTTCCTGGTTAATGTGATAAGGAAACAAATCACCAAACATTTGGGCCTCTAGTGTTATTGGCAGGGATAAAAGTTTGTTCTTTGTCTTAACATTTATTATGATGAGCTAATAATATGAATCATGAATCATTTCCAAAATGGTTAGTTTAACAAATTCTACTTTTATCTATACAAGAAATAAAATTCATTACTGATTTTTCCTTTTTTCTGTTTGACAAAAGAGGAAGGAGCCATCTATAAAACAGCAGGACTGCATGAAATGTTTTATCGTATTCACCACCAATAACCTGTCGCCTTAGGAGCAAATATTCATTTACTTGGAGAGCATTCACCTGCAATTTAAAAATGAAGTTTTGTGTTCGCTAGGTTTCACAAGTCGAAATACACTAGTCAAACTATTGTCAGAATATTCCTTGAATGCCGCCTTACTGACAGCGTACAGTATCTGAGCTCCAGAGAAAACAGAAATGTGCTATGAGAACTGAACTTGTGCTATTCACACGTGTTCATACATTACAGAGCGTTTTAAATCTAAACCTGCCTTTTTCAAGTCCTGACGAATCGTCATTTTATTTTTTTAAACAAAGGGGTCAGGGACCAGACCCTCAGTAATGTCTCAGATGTCAGCACATACTGAAAATAATCCTCATGATACACTTTAACTTTACTCTCTACATTCATCTTACTGCTTGAATGTGACACTGAGATGTTCATGAAATGTGCTGAATTATTATTGTCAAGTTATTCATACATAAAAGGTAATAAAAGCAGAAAATTATCATTTCAGAAAGATACATATTTTTACTGCAGCAAAACATAAGCCAAGACAAAGTCAGTTATAAAAAAGATCCTTTTATACATCACTTTCATATTATCATATTCTACATGTTTAATTTATCAGTGTCTCAGTTCCAATCAAAGTATTAGAGCAGACTGAACACATTTAAAGATAAGGAGTGGGAGAATGTGCAACTTAAGGGTCAATGCAACCAATTATTGCCCTGTTTGCATTATATACATGTGCCCCTTTTTTAACTCTAACAATATACATGTGTCTGAACCATTATCACTCTATTTCTGCTATAATCTGTCATGGCCAGGTTGGTTTTTAAATCAGACTGTGAGAGTAAGGAAACGTTGTTGATGGGAAGCTGAATGAAACTCTATAGCGTCCTGCCTGTTGGCTGGACTGGATGGCTAGTGGCTGAAACAACTCCCTGATGTCACCTGGCTTGTTTCTTTTAAAAGGGTCTGGTTGATTTTTGAGGACTCTGATATGGGGTGGGGTGCTGCTCATACCCAGGAGTGCAGATGAGTGGAAAGAGGGCCAGACACACATGCATGTGAGGTTAGCTTCCATCCACTCGCTGACATCCAGTGGGGGGGTCAACACCAAACCAACGAGGGGGCGAACTGACTCCCTCCCGGACAGCGACATGCACTGCCTTCCAGTTAATCCAACCACAAAACGCTACTTTGGTTCTTTAGAAGGATTAATGCTGGTTACAACAAATTTTCTTTAATGTTATTTAAGACAAAGAAAGAGACGGGAAAAAAAAACATCAACAAAATAAAAAAAAAAAAACAATAGCATACAGGTCATGCAGCACAAGATGGCAGACACAATGCTTTTATGAAGAAAGAAGGCAAACGAATACTGATAGAGACAAGACAACAAGGCACGATGACAGGCAAGAGATTCGACCAATCAGACAGGACAGGGATTAGATGTAGGCAGGTCTTACCGATGCGGTCCAATCGGTCGATGGCGACAGTTTCGAATGCGCGTCGCATCATGGGGTACTCTTCTAGCACCTCATTGAAATGATCAACAGAGAGGGAGAAGAGTCGACAGTAGGTGTCTGCACGCACGCTCGCAGTTCGTCTGCCCTTGGTGAGCAGACAGATCTCTGTATGGCGGGGACACGGAGACACAAAGGAGAACAAAGAGTGAGAGCATAAGAGATTTGACACATGAAGAAACACTAACAAAAGTGGAGGGTGCAGAGGGATTTAAAGGAAATCATCCCAGTAATTGCGGAACAGATTACCATAGAGATGAACCAAGATTACAAAAGGTAGAGAGGCAGAAGCTAATGTGAATGTAAATAAAATGAGAAGCCCATCAGTGCTGCTGTCACTTGCATTATACTAACATAATTCATCATCCTGCAGGGAGCTAATGGTCCCATAAGACAATACAGTACTGCATCAGCTCTCAGATGTAATGCATGACTAAACAGGGGTATAGTTACGTAGCATTCCTGCTCATTCACTGTGGGTTCTCACATGAGGAGATGTAAAGAGAACACATCGCTTTGTGTTATGTTTAGAGCGATAGATGGATGCATCAAAACACTCTGCACCTCACCTAACACCAGATAATAACATAGCACACATCTTGTTTCTTGTTTCTGTACATGCAGCTACCAAACACTGTAAAATAATGGAGGTAGCTACAGTTATGTCACCTATTGGTTTTTGGACCTCTGTTTTGAATGAGTAGGTATAACCGTGGCTAGAACAGTGACAAGACCCACCCTCCACGAGTCTCTTACCAAACCTATACGACTGGCATCCTATCCAAATCTATGAAGTGTTAGGTTAAAAGAAAGGTGGTTAAGCTAAGGGTAAGGGTAAAGGTAAGGGGTACATCTTGCTTCTTATAAGGTAAATCATGTCTTCACGTGTAATGAATAAAGTGAATGGATAAAGTGGGTTATTGCTATTGTATTAATTACAACATTGTAGCAGAGTTTAAAGAGCGTGGTGTTGGTGGGTTTGTCTTATACTGCTGGTGGCTGTGGTTTGTAGGGGCGTGTCACCTTCTTGGATTTTTGGAGCCAGAAGTGACCATATTTGGACAAAAGGGTGGAGCTATTAAAGAGCGAGGGGTGGGTCTGACTGAAACCAGAGGTGACACCTTGAAAACAGCCTGTCACTCAAAGCAGCCACACCCTTTAATAGCAAAATGTACTTAAAATATCAAAAGTTAAAGTACTTTTTCTGTAGAAAATTGCCCCCCCCTTCTTTATTTTGCATGCAGATAACCATCTAATTGACATTTGTAAATGTAATACATGAATATAAAGTAATGAAAGGAACAGCTTCGTGATTTACTGACCATTTAAAAATACAGTGACATTAAAGCTGTTTCAAACGCTTTTCAAATTACTGAACAAATAAAATTACTGTACTGTGTATAATTTGGATATACTATAATACAGCACAGTACTGTATATTAAATATTGCTTACGCTAGTTCGAATTTCCCTCATTATCGGACATTATCAATCCACTTCACATAGGGCTGCTTCAATCACACGTTTTCACATTCTTTTTCAGTCTCCATCACTGGCAGCCATGACTCTTTGTTTGAACAGACTACAAAAGGTAGTCTGAAGAACACCAAGTTTTACAGCTGCATCTCAATGTTTTGGCAGTTTCTGGGAGGATATAATAAGCTTCTATAAGCTTCTAGGAGACTACATTGTTCACTGAGGGAAAATGACTTTCTTTTTCCTGTCACAGCACCAGCCTCAGGGAGCCAGCTGAAATGTAGGTAAAAGGTAAAAAGTAGAAATAAATGTACTTAGTCAATATCCAGCACTGATTGTCATTTTAATACACCACACAAACACACAGTGAGGTGTTCAGGTTGGTCCGTCTGATAAATATGCTGCAGCACAGTCACATCTCTGACTGGAAATGTTACTTTGGATCAAACTCTCAGATTGCAATGCCAAAATTGCTCATTTTCTCTTCGTAGGATGCTTATTATCGCTTCTACCAGTCATTCAAGCACTTTGATCTTTTGAAGAGTGAGTAGATGATTACAAACAGAACTCATGTTGAGAGGAAAAGGTCATGCTGTTGATTCAGCCTAAAGTAATGGGACCTAAAATGTTAATGACCACAAGAAATTTTTCACTTCTGATGTCAATAACACCTGGCTAAAATCCAGTTTCTATGATGCTGTGATTAGACAAGAAGATTTTAAACTGCTGCTGGAATATGAGATGCCTGAAAAGGACGTGCAAACCAATCTGCATTTCTTCATCTTATTTAGCTGGCTGTAAATAAATGTATGCTGCTGCAGATGATATGTGATAGTATAACCTGACACTCACAGTGCCTGATCTCCTCAGTGTTTTCATGAATCAATGACACGAGGCAGAAAGTTCACAATCTAACCGCCCCCCATTCTTTCAGCCCACATTTTTCTTCTTTTTATACGCTCATAAACCAGTACCCGCCTTCTAAGTATCAACTTCCCTTGGCTCCTGTTCAATCCTTTTCATCCAGCAACACCACTCAACCTCCGCCCACATTTGCACTTCTGTCCAATCTACAGCACAACTTCCATCTTCGTTAAGTCGTTAAATGTTAACTTGTCGTGATGACTTGGCTACGCCATGAGTGTGCACAAGATGTGAGAGCAGCACTCTCAAGCTGTGGGTGTGAATAAGGTGTTAGTACTGTTGTGATGGAAAAGCTCCCTTTAAGTGGTACCTCTGTTAAAACAGGAAGATACACAGAGAAGAAAGAGACGAAGAGACAGCGGGAGAGAGAAAAACCTGCATCAACCTGAGGCAGACACAAAGACAGACAGTGAGGAGTCTGTACACACGCTTGCATGATGCGCTGTGTGGTAACATCCGGAGATAAATGTGTTACATGACAGTTAATAAGGTGATAATTAGTGAGCTTTACAAGTGCTGGTAGGCAGAGCTAGGCACAGGCTGTTCTCATGCACTGTTTGTAGGTATACCTACAAAAAGTAATGCACCAGCAATTCCTGTATAACCCATGTAATGGGTAAGGCTGTGATCACCCAACCCAAGCACTGACGGGAGGACAGAGGGAAGTTATATGAAGACTGAAATTCTGTGTAAGGAGGAGGGTTGGGGTGGTGTACAAACAATGTTGGACTTTTCCCCAAGAGACTTATACTCAGTTATTTTGAGGTACGTCATAACCGTATTTCTTTTCCTAAACCTGACCTATGTAACTTTACGTTAAGTTCATAACTTGAGGTTAAGAACATAACTCGATTCACGGGGTACTAATTTGTAAGATATCATATGAACTATTGTACAAGGATATGTTGCTGGGCAATTTATCAATATTGATATATTGTCTTGATTTTGGATATCGTAATATCGAGTTGTCTTTTCCTGGTTTTAAAAACTGTGCTACAGTAAAGTGATGACAGTGATGTAATTTTCTAAACTTACCGGACTATTCTATTTGCCTTTAAACACTTACTCTTTATATCCACATTACTGATGAATATTTAGCAAAATCTCATTGTGTTAATATTTTGTGAAAGTACCAACAGTCAACCCCACAATATCATTGCAACATCAATATTGCGGAATTTGTTAAAAAATATTGTGATATTTGATTGCCTCCATATTGCCCAGCCCTACTGGTAGACAAATATATATATATATATTTTTTTAATGTTTGAATGTTTGGATGTTTGGAGGGGCTGGTGAAATGTTTCACGCTGCTTCCTGTATTAATGCTAAGCTAACTGTATTCTAGCTCTAGCTTCATATGTGGTGTAAAAGCCTAAGAGTGCTATCAATTCTCTCATCTCACTCTCAACAAGAAAGGGAACAGAAGTATTTCCACAAATGTCCATTCTTTGTGTAGTATAGTTTGGGGAAACTTTTAGCAAGACATGCTAAGGCAACCGAAACTACCGGTAGGAGTCACTGGCTCTGTTTACACAGAGATCGTGCTATAGAGGAGCTTAGAAGTCCCTTCTTTATGCCTCCTTTGCATTTTTACACAAAACCAAACAACAGCAGCATCACTGCGCTCCACTGTGTGATTTTAGAGAGCATGCTGGTATTACAGAGGCAAGAAAGGTGTGACGGGCATGGCATGTAACACAAGAGTGTCAGCATCTAGTGTGACATGTAACATGTGTCAGCAGTGCTTTATTAAACAATAGCAATGGCATAACATGGCAATAATGATCATTTACTGTCTCTGTTTCACGTCGGCCGATCTTGTCCTCTGCTTGGAGGTTAAGGAGCTTCCGGACCTCACTGTTTTCCCAAATTGCTGACATTTTCGGCTGCTGTTCCTCTTCTTTGAGTTAGCTTCTACCTGCTACTTTTAAAATCTCCCGCGATGGATCACACGCATGACATGTTATCAAAACGTCATCAAAATGTCACACCTGTGCCTCCCATGATTCTGCTCTGCCTGCTGTCCCACTATGAAGATATTGATTCAGGACTGTTACTACCTTCTATACTGGCGTAACGGTGAGACAACTCTGTCCCCCATTTCACTGTACCTTTTAAAAAGAACGGCAAGGCAGATAACCAGTGCCAAATTCTGGCCTTGAAGAGGCAGAGCAAAACAGGCTACTAATAAAGCAACAAGGATGAGAACTCTCGCAGCTTACTGTGAATGCAACCTAGACATTACAATATCAGCAATGGAGGATTTTGCCTTTCATTTATTTTCCACTTGTTCTCTGAAACATCAGTGAAATGGACAATTTGCTTCACCGAGCTCTGCTTTGATTTGGTCGTCAGGTTGCCACACCACCCCAAAACCGAATTAACCAGCAGCAGAATAATGGGACGAGCAACAGTGGGAGACAAAACTTTCTTGCTCTTTTTTTCCTCTGTTGGAATAACACGTTCAAACTGAGCTTATTCATTTTGTCAGACTGAACTGAACCCCAGTTGTGAGTGATTGTTTGAGAACATGAAAGCTGATGATTAGCTGACAGAGAGCAGGAAAAGTCTGTATTTTTAGACTGCGCTTACTGCGTTCACTGCTTTAACACTTTATACATACAAACATCACACATCAGAAATGTGCAGCTACACTCCTGCTTTCTCTCAGAATACTTATATAATGTGCTGGTATTTGTGGCCTAC